CGAGGGCATTAACCAGGTGAGCTGGCTTGGGAGTGGGATTGAGAAACTCCAGCGACAAGCAGTTAGACATGACGCTCAAAAGAAGAGAGAGGGCGGCCAGGAGCTACTCATGCCACCAGAGTTCACCAGGGTCACTTTTAGACAAGAAATTTAAAAATCACAAGGATACAGAGGAGAGTTAAGAGATAGGGAAGGCGACTCAGTGTGAAGCGAAAGGAAGGGGCTGGTGGCAGGGATCAAGGAGAGGACTGCATGGGACCCCAGCAGAGAGACAGGGAAGGCCCGCGTGGTCCCTATGCCCAGATCCTTTCGGATCTATTCCAGCTCATGCTCATCTGAAAACAAGCTCACACCACCCTTGTAATGAACGTGGTGTGAGCAAGCCTTTAAAAAGCCCAGATGGAGACCAGCGTCAACAGTTCTGCCACACTAAAGAACAAGGTGGTGGTGGTGGTGGGGGAGTTTATGATACGAAACCCTATCAGCTTTGAGAGCAGCTCCTCGAGTTGCAAGGGGCTGTGATGAGCCCAAGCCAGGAAGGTACCACAGTGCTGTCAGTTGACTGAAGGGGCGGCCGTTCCCTGGGGAGCCAGGGGGACAGGGGGTCATCCTTTAGCCAGGACAAGGAGGGAAGCAGAATTGGGAATGGACGGAGTTCTTCTCGAGGAGCCACTCAGCCTCCCTCTGACCCTGCTCTGGTTTCCTATGTATGGAGGGAGGGCAGTCAGAGACATCAGTCACCCCTGGCCCTCACCACCGAAGCCAACAGGCTGGGAACTCACCAAGGGGAGTCAGTGGTAAAGTCCATCCCCCTTCAAGATCTAGTGAGGTGACAGGACCCTGGAGGCCTGGGAAGGGAACAAAAGAGAGTCCCTGTGAGCAGGATGGGCCCAGGAGCAGGTATGGAAGACCTTCTTCTGGAATTCCCTCTGGCCTTTGTGTAGGCTGCCTGCGTGGAGTCTGGAATGTGGTGCAATAGCCCCTCTCATAGTAAAGCCATCATGTCTAACCCCTCTCAATGCACTTCCCAGGCTTAACCAGTTACCTAGATCCCCCAAATCCCACATATCCCCGGGGACTTTCCCTTCCCTCTCCTTGGCTCCCCTCAGAGCCTCTGCTGGGATTCAGGGAGGACAGCTGTCACATGGAGACAGTTGCAGGGAGCTGGGAAAGCTCTCCAATTTATGGTTAGCAGGAAGATCTGTCCTCTCTGTCCACCTGGCAGGCTCCAGGGCACAGGGGTGGACATTAGTGACTCACTCATGAGGAGGCCCTCACCTCCTAGCAGGTCCCTGCTCAAATGTCACCTTCTCCAAGAGGTTGCCCTCACTGTCTGATATGAAATATCCTGCGCCCCCCACCCCTCCACAGTTGGCTGCTTTGATCTTCTCCACAGACTTAGCACACCTGCCAGACTCTAGTTTTATGTTTGTGCACTGTCTGTCTCTTCCCACGAGAATGGAAGGCGGCTTCACACTTTATAGTTTTAGTTCACTGCTAGAGAGTAGTCCCCCACACCCCAAACAGGGGTGGGCACTCAGTTGGCAGCTACTAAATACTCCTGAAGTAAAGCTATCCATTGAAGAAATTTTTACTCGACACTTCTTTGGTTTTCGGCCAAGGTGTATGTTTTTCTGTTTTGTTTTTCATATATCAGGAGTCAACTAGTATAGGGGGAGAAGGACGAGGACCTCTGCTCCTGTAAAGGATTACAGTGTCGAAACCCAAAGGGGCAGTTCTCCCCTGTCCCGTAGGCCTCCATCGCGGTGCACTTGGGTTTTTTGGAAAGCGAGCACTTACCCATCTCTGGCCGTCGCGGTGCATCGGCACCAGCTGCAGGGGGTGCCCGAGCCCGCAAACCGGCCGCGGCTGTGTGTGCGCAGCCCGCACAACCTCCAGAGGGCGCCCGCCACCCGCGCCGTCCTTATGAGGCGACCCAGGGCGACGGGCTGAGTACTCTGGCCTGAGAGAGAGATGTAGGCCGGCTCCATTGGCTTGGTCCCCTCTCCCCTTCACACCACTCCCCACTACATCTGGGGACTGCGAGTTGGGCAGGGGGCGGGAGTGCAGCTTCCCAGTGCGGAGCTTCAAAAGCGCTGTTGGACCGTTGGTAACGGAAACCGTCGCCTGGCCCTCCGTGCACCTGGCACGGGCAGACGGGGCTGCTCTCCCAGGGTCTCAGGGGCCGCTTCTCTGGGAGGGGGCAGGGGGAGGTAGGGAGACAAAGTCCTCATTGGTTTCCTCCTGAGAACTTCACACATTAACACATCGTGTCACGGGCATATTACTGTGACCCTGGGGACCGGCCAGCAGGACCGGGCTATGGGATTGGGATTCTCCTGGGGACCAGTTTACAAGATTACCAGGCTGCAGCCTTTACAGGCAGAGGCCTCGGGAGTAGCTCCAGGGCTGCGAGAGCGAAGGGTGGAGACAACGGGACCCGGGGCAAAGCAGTCACAGGTTGGTGGGGGTGGGGGGGGGGGGGGGTCCCAGCTGGAGGGGGCACAGAGCTGCCCAGGGCCTAAGGACCAGAGGCTTCTGCCATGGCAGAATGAGGGAGACACAGAGTGCCCCGTGTGCCCCAAGGAGATGAAAGCTTTGATGTCAGGTCTGAACCTGCAGCCAGTGTGTCATTGCCCGGTAGACAGGGTCAGTAAGGCTCCCTTGCTTATCGGTAAGCACAAGCAGACCTGTGCTTACTGTGACTATTGGGCAATGTGCCCTTGCATCCGGCCTGCATGTGGCAGGGGCCATCAAGGAAGCTTGTGACCTGGTCAGTCTTCCAGACCCCATCCAAGGGGCTGTCTTGGAGGTGAGAGGGCACAGGGCAGGGCCTGGGAAGCATGAGAAAAGAGGAACCTCAAAGGTCTGGGGCATTTGTTCAGGGTCCCAGGAGCAAGATCTCCAGGTGCTGGGGTAGGGTGGGGGTGGGTTGAGAGGAAGAGCAGCCCCTCCAGGGCCTGTGGGGACCTGTGCCTGGGGCTGGCAACATCACTGCAGGAAATAGAAGGAGACTGAGGAGCTGTCTATGGGAAGTGGCCCTGGTTTTGCAAGGTGGGAGGATGATGGATGGGGAGAAGGGGAGGATGGGGTCACCAAGGTTGTCAGGGGTGGAAGACTGGGCCACTGGTCCGAGGCAGGCCAGCAGAGGGCCCATCAGCTGTGCCCCAGACCCCCGCCTCTGCTCTACAGAACCCCCTGCCCCATGATGGGTTCTCAAGAGCCAGCCATGGGCTCCCATTGCGCCCGACGAGGAGCTCTTCAAAAGCTCTGCAAGAGGCTCCCATTGCACGCCAAGAAGCTCTGCACGTGAGAAGCTTCCGGAAGCATTAAGTGCTTTCAAAAGCCCAAGGCCTGGCACATCGGCCCCATTAGAGAGAACTTTTTTTTTTTTAATCACAACGGAGGCACAAGTAGCCTGTTGGGTGGTAATTGCTTTCCTAACCCATAGATAAAACGTATCACAAGCCCGCCACAATTAAGTAAAGTGGTCACATTCCTCTAGTTGATTTAAGGCTATTTAGAAATACCAGTGACTGACTTTGCTTCCACTCTTTTGTTCCCCCCTCAAACTGAAACCCCCCCACTTCTCTTTTGAATCTCATGAAAAGAGTCTCAGTGCTCCAGGAGGGAGGAATGAAAGATGTTTGCGTTTCCCTCTCTACAGCCAGCCCTCACTCACAGGATGCCTTCTTTGCATCACCCAGGGCTTTAATGTCCTCAAATATTTGTAATTAGCCAGAAATAGCCCTAAGAAATGTTCGGCTTGCTCACAGTCAGATAGGATAATCATTGGCATCCAACGTTCACAACCTCAGAGCTGCTGCCTGAGGCTGGAGGTGCCCCTCTGCCCCTTGGGGAAGGCAAGGCCCCTGAGATCTGGGCGCTGAGTGCTGTGGAGGCAGAGGGAGGGGGCAGCAGGGAGCCTTCGTTCTTCCATGTGCAGGCTCTTCCCCTGGTCTTGGTGGGCTCCTTTACCCTCTCTCAGAGCCAGAAAGGTCCAGAGGGGGAGCGTAAATGGCACCCAGCCCGAGAGGTTAGGAGCCCTCACTGGCTGTAAAACTCACACATACACACCGCGGGTGGACACGACTGTGCCCAGTGAATCCTTTAGGCAATACCTGGCTGAAGTCCAGTGACAAGAACCCCAAAGGCTCCCCCACAAAGGATACTGTGGCCAGATAAGCAGGGGGAGCTTTGCACACCCCTTGCTGGAATCTCCATTGCCCTTTGGAGAGAGACAAGGCACGCCCCCTATGAATACTCTCCTTCCCTGTCTTCTGCGGCTCCACGCACATTTCCAGAAGAATAGCAAGAAAACGATTTTCCCTGCATAATTACCGCCTCCTCCCCACCCACCTACACACATCTCTCCTGCTTTGAAGTGGCAGCTGCTCTGACTTCTTTTAGTGGACCACAGGCTGCATTCACCAGGCAGGTGGAGTTAAATTAAGGGAGCCACCAGCTGAGGCTGGGGGCGAGCACCCTCAGCACCACCACCTTCTCCCCAGGACCTGCTTCAGGTCCTCTTACTGGTTCTCCTGGGTTCCTGGTCCAGGACTGTTGGTCCCGGCCTGGGTCACCTGGTGCTCCTCTCCCTTGCTCCAGGCTGCTTCAGCCGGGGCCCTGCAAAGCTGAAAGGAAATTCTTCCTTTGTGAAATCAGCCAGGATGCTCTACAGGTAACAGAGAACCTAGCCTGACCAGTATCAATACCGAAAGGTAATCTCGGTTTGTTAACTCATCCTGGGGTCATGCCACTAGGGCTCTGGGACTTCCTGTTTCTCCCTCCCTTTCCTTCCTTCCTTCTATTAATTCTGTCGGAGCAGCTGGAGGAACAGGCCGCCAGAGTGCCGGGTGCTGGGGGCACCGCAAGTGCATGCATACAGACAACGATGTTGTGGGACATTGTTCTCAGAGTTAGAAGGTGGGGGCGGGGGCAGTCTTGCCTTTTATAAACATACACTTTGTGAGAAACCAGTACAAACCTGGATGTCTCACCTTTGACGCTCAGACTTCGCAGAAAGAGCCCCTTCACAGTTTCCTTACGAAGAAGTTGCCAGCTCGGCCATAGTAGCCTTCTCCCTTGAAGACTCTTGTTAGTGAGAGGGAAAGATGACAATGTTTTCCTTCATTAAAGAAAAAAAAAAATCTGTAAAATTTTGAAAACAGGCTTCATATTCGGCTCTTACTTCCGGGTCAAGTTGCAGAGTGGATGTGTGGTGGCCTCTGGACCAGTGGACAACCGAGGTCAGGTGTTTGAGCAGCAGGAAGGGAGGCCACAGCCCCCTACTGTCAGGTCCCAGATGCCTGGAATCAAGAAGAGGAATGAAATGAATCCAAGTCATGCCACATTGTGTAAAAGGTGAGACCCAGTGGGGACTGTCATCAATAACCTCCCATATGGTGGGGATTTGGGTTCATCCGTTTTCATCAAGTGTATCTGGTGTTTTTGTCACAACTACCTCGCTGCCCTCCTCCCCTCACTGACTCATCCAGCTGAGCCTCCCGATAGCCTCTCGGTGTGGAATCAGCGGTGTCACCTGAAGAATGACCCTCTGGGCCTTGTGGTCCATGGTCTTCAGAGGGAGTTGATGCTAACTCACCCCTGGAGAGCACCACTTCCTTCTTCCTGCTCCACATCCCTGCCCTCCTCTCCAGCGGCTCTGACTCCACCGGCCTGACTGAAAGACCTTCTTTCATCTGGTGACTGCACAGAGAATGTGCAGTCTGCTTTCCTGACCATTTTTAAGTGAATTCCGTGGCATCAAGCAAATTCGCCATGTTGTATAACCATCACCACCATCTGTTTCTAAAACGTCTCCACTGCTCGGATTGGAATATCTGTGCCCATTAAGTAATACTGTCCAGTCCTCTCTGCCCTCACCCCTGGGTGACTCCCAGCTTACTGTTCCATTTTGACAACTTTGCCTATTCTAGATATTTCACATAAGTAGAAAAAGTGCCCTTTTCCGCCTGGCTTATTTCACCTAACAATCTTTTTAAGGTTCATCCATGAGATAACAGGCATTCGACTCTTACTCCTTTTTTCCTCCGCAACTGAATACTATTCCATTACCCTGACAGACCACATTTTTCATCCATTCACCTATTGATGGACACTAGGTCACATCTACACTGTGGCCACTGTGAATAATGCCCTGTGGACACTGATACAGAAGTCTCTGTTCACGGGTACAGATCAGAGCTGGAAACACAGGGAATCTAGGACAGATAAACCCCTCAGGACCAATAATGAGAGTAGCGATACCAGGAGGGGAAGATGTGGGGAGTAGGGGGGAACTGATCACAATGATCTACATATAACCCCCTTCATGGGGGACAGACAACAGAAAAGTGGGTGAAGGGAGACATTGGTCAGTGTAAGACATGAAAAAATATAAATTATCAAGGGTTCATGAGGAAGGGAGGGGAAGGGATGGAGGAAGGGGAAAAAATGAGGAGCTGATACCAAGGGCTCAAGTAGAAAGAAAATGTTTTGAAAATGATGATGGCAACGAATGTACAGATGTGCTTGACATGATGGATGTATGGATTGTGATAAGAGCTATTTGAGCCCCCAATAAAATGATTTTTCTTTAAAAGTCTCTGTTTCTGTCCCTGCATTCAGCTCTCTGGGGTGGAATTACTAGGTGGCATGGTCATTCTGATGAGCCTTCATGGTATAGTGGGTTATGCTGGGAGGTTAGCAATTCAAACCCAGCAGCCAATCCATGGGAGTCAGGTGAGACTGTCTCCTATAAAGATTTTCAGCCTCAGAAACTCTAGCAAACAGTTGCACTAGGTCCAGGGTCGAATGGATCCAATGGCAGTTGGTTGGCTAAATTGGCAATTCTCAAATTTTTTGAGTGTAAATGTTTCCTGGATACATACTATGCTTCCAGTACTGTGCTAGGTACTGGGAAATCTAATTTCTATTGTCCCTCTTCCTACCCACACACAGCCCTGAAAAGGAAGTGTGGGTCAAAAGAGAAATGTCTTGATTAGAACATAACCACAGTTCAGCCTCCCACCTCACCAGTTGAGTTAGTTTCCTATTTCTGCTTTAGCAAATTGCCAACACCCCCCACCACCACCCACCA